TAATTTGCTTGCAAGAAGAGAAAAACAGAAGTACATGGCTTAGGGTAGGCACACTTACCTGTTTAATACATTGGTTTAGGGCTGACCAGTAATTGAAACTGTTGCTAGCTATTTTAACAGCTTTTCAATCCTAATAAGTTAATACCTAAGAGACATATAAAAAACACCAACATACTATGTAAAAGTCTCTTACAACTCAGAAAAAGTGTTCCAAATAACCACTCTTTTATGAGGCATTTATTGGTCTTTATGGAATTATGAAATTTACTAAAATGTAATTGCTTATGAATATATAAATATAAATTATTTATTGAAAGGTATATTAATTTACTCATTTTTACAAATTCATTGGGGATGAACTAGATGACATTTACAGGTCCCTTCCAAACTAAACTATTCATTGCTGCTGAGATCAGTACCTCCAGAGGGGAGCCCTGAATCCCAGAGTGACAGGGAATACAGCGTCAAGAAGCCTGAGTTCTGAGAAGCGAAAACCACCGAGTGAGCCTCAAGCCCTCGCCAGGCCTTGATCAGGAGCCGGCACTCCACTGAGGTGAGCAGTGACTGCCAGGGTTGTCGTGAATGGGGCGACAACTGATTGGCAACTAGTCACCAGTTTTAAAAACCCTCAGCTAAGCATCATGTAAGGGTACTGTATAGAGGGCAGAGATTGAGAGATTGGCCACAATTCCCCCAGCACATTTATCCAAGCCCTTGAAACGCAGCATGACCGCTGGTCTCTCTCCCATAGGCTGATTACTTGGGTGGTCTGGAGTGAGGGGGGAAAGGGACAGTCACCGAGTTTCTCATTGGAGATGTTGGTGCAGGCTGCAGAGGCCTGGGGTGCATCACGCACAGTATGACCTGCCACTTAGAAGAGGTGACTCTCCAGCTGCAATCAGCGCTGGGGCAGGCTCACAGTGAGTCCTGGGTGCAGTTCTGGGCTCCACCAGTTAAGAAGCACATGAAGCTCCTTGAACACATCCATAGGACAGCAACAGCCAGTGGCAGGGTTGGAAGGCATGTCCTGTGAGGAGTGGCTGAGGACACCGCATTTGTCTAGTTTAGAGAAAAGGAGGCTGAGGAGTGACCTCATTGCTCTAGACAGCTTTTCCCAAGTAGGGGAAATGGAGAGGGCGCTGCTGATCTCTTCTCGCTGGGATCCATCGATAGGATGCGTGTGAATGGTGCAGAGCTGCCCGGGGAGGTTTAGACTAGATACTAGGAAGCATTTCTTTACCTAGAGGGTGGCCAGAAACTTCAACAGACTTCCTAGAGAGGTGACCAATGCCTTATGCCCATCAGTGTTTCAGAGGCATTTGGACAACACCCTTAATAACATGCTTAAACTATTAGCCAGCCCCAACGTGGTTGAGCAGTTGGACTTGATGATCACTGTAGGTCTCTTCCAACCCCATACAGGTCTAAAGGAGAGTGTATGTGGGGTGCAGGCCTACTGCTGTCAGGGTCCAGAGGCTGTTCATAGGCCTCAATGCTTGGGACCGGCCTCCGTGGGGACCTGCACTGCAGTGGCCCCTCAGACTTAAGTCAGAGCTTGTCGTGAAGAACTATATGCATATCATAGCTGTTCTGTTCCATTCCATTCCATTCCATTCCATTCCATTCCATTCCATTCCCGGCACTCAGGGTGAGTGGTATAATGATGTGATCACTATTTACCTGAAATCAAAAGGGGTTTTCAGCACTTAAAACTCTTTCAAAGACAGAAATCAGACGCAAATCAGGTTACAGGTGGAAAGGGTATTTAATTTATTTATAAATATATTTTATTCAGTTTGGTTAATTTTAGTCTAGTCTAGATGATATTTTCTTGTTCTAAATCTCCCAGAGCTGATGCTCACAAGCATTAACCTGATGCCCATGCATAGCCAGCAGCAGGCTGACGCATCCTTCAGTCTAGCTGGTAAAAACCTCCCTGGCAGCCTGACAAAGCAGCAAAGCCAGGACAGGAGCGGTGCCATGGTGGAGCAAGAGCAGTGCGAGAAAGAACCCAGCCAGAATGGGCCAGGGAAGACCTGACAAGGGGGAGTGCTCAATGCAACAGAGAGAAGCAGCAAGTCCCAGGGCCACGCTGGGGTCACCCTGGCAGTGCAGAAGGCTTCCTTCCCCCTTGATGCGGGGCACTAGGGCCACCTGCGTGGAGCACGAGCAGCTGCCTTTGGGCTACCAATAACCCAAAGGAGCCCCATGGAGGGGCTGTGCTCGGCTGTGGAGGAGGCAAAAAACCCCGGGGACACTTGCTAGTCCACCTGGGGGAAAAAAAGCCTTCCCCCCCCAGCTGCAGGACATGAGGGGCCGCCTTCGTGGTTCATGAGCACCAGGTGATAACGCAGAGCACCAGGAGCAGAGGAGCCCTGACAAGTGGTCTTGCTCAGTGATCAGAGGAAGGCAAAAAACCCCCGGGGACCAGTGACAGTCTGCCCTGGGGGAAAATTCCTTCCTGACCCCAGCACTGGTGATCGGCTACTCCCTGAGCATGTGAGCAAGACCTGCTCCCAGTCCACGGGCTGGTTATGCCTCTGGGGGGACAAGGGGACGCTGGCACTGCCTGTTCTGCCTCTACCTGGAGCCATCTCAGGGGCTTCCAACAACAGCAAAATGCCGCTGGCCTGATCCAGCCTGGGAGCAAGAACCCTTCCAGTGCCGGGTGCTGGCACTATGACATGGGGGTGACGGGGCCCCCGCAGCCCTGCTGCTGCTGCCTCTTCACCCAACGTGCCTTGGAGAAAGGCCTTTGGGGTGCTGGCCCTGAGGCAGTGTCTGTGCCCAGGAAGCCCAGGGGGAGGACCCTACCCATGGTGGCCACACACTGGGTCCAAGGTGTCCCTCTAAATTAATCCCTATGTCCAGACTGTAACAAGAAAGGCTTTTAAACCATGTACAGTCATTTGAATGCGGTGAACCCAGAGGTGAAAGAAAGAAAGAAAGGGGTTTTGGTTCCCTCTGCATGAACATCGCAGAAATATAGAGTGCACACAGGGTTTCCTCACCATTCCTTACCAATACACCATGTGGCAGTTGCTACTACGCTGCTTATGGTGAGGACTTCTTCTTGGAAAGAAGAATTTCAGAAATCTCTTCTGCATTTGTTACACAGGGTGTTTAGGTATTTGCCTGTGTTTATTAACATTCATGTGCTTGTTCTGGGGGCTTACCTCCTGTATTAGTGCTTGAATGCAACACCTCAGTGACTGCTGCCTAATTCCATGCTCTTGATAGCTCAGTAAAGTGTTTTGATCCCCAATTTGATTTAAAACACATGAGCTGAGCAACTTTCCCCTGAAACACTCAGGCAAAACAAGTAACTGACTCAGTTGTGTCGAATAGTTTTAAAAACCCTCAGCTAAGTATCATGTAAGGGTACAATTGTATGAGACCGAGGTCAGGGCTTGTCATGTAGAGCCCTATATTCTGTACCCCCACAATGCTCACCAACAGGGAGGGGCTGGTTGTGAATATGATTTTCCAAGGCAGCCTTTGCTATTGCAGTCATGAGATGGTCAATTCGAGATCCTCAGGACAGTGAGAAGGGCATACAGCAAGCTCACTGCCCTGGACTTTAAGAGAACAGTCTTTGGCATCTTTAGAATCCTGCTCAGTAATATTCCATAAGATAAAGCCCTAGGAGGCAAGAGGGTGCAAGACTTCTGGTTGATGTTCAAGGATCACCTGCTACACGCTCAGGAGTGCTGCATCCTGACTAGAAGGAAGTGCAGCAGGAGGGCCATGAGACCTCCATGGATGGATAAGGAACTGCTGAGAAAACTTAGAGGGAAAAATGACACTTATAAAAGGTGGAAGTGAGGACAGGCAGCATGGGAAGAATATAGGGATGTTGTCTGGGAAGTAAGGGACCAGGTCAGGAAAGCTAAGGCCCAGCTAGAATTAACCTGGCAAGGGATGTGAAAGATAACAGGAAGGGCTTCTGTAGATATGCATTAAACAAATGACAGACTAGGGAAAATGTGGGCCCTCTCCAGAAGCTAAGGGGATGTGGGAGGTGAAAGCGATAGGATATGCATTAGGAACACTCTGGGAATAAGCTATGAGGCTTTATAAACAAGCGAGCCTTGGGGTGATAAACCAGGATGTTGTTGTTGTGAAGGGCTTGGGGGTGCTGGTTGATGAGAAAATGAACATGAGCTGGCAGTGTGTGCTCGTAGCCCAGAAAGCCAACCGTATCCTGGGCTGCATCAAAAGAAGTGTGACCAGCAGGTCGAAGGATGTGATCCTGCCCCTCTACTCTTGTGAGACCTCACTTGGAGTACTGTGTGCAGTTCTGGTGTCCTCAACGTAAAAAGGACATGGAGCTGTTGGAACAAGTCCAGAGGAGGGCCACGAGGATGATCGGGGACTGAAGCACCTCCTGTATGAAGATAAGCTGAGAAAGTTGGGGCTGTTCATCCTGGAGAAGAGAAGGCTGCGTGGAGACCTCATAGCAGCCTTCCAGTATCTGAAGGGGGCCTATAGGGATGCAGTCCCTAGTGACTACAGCCACTAGGGACTGTAGTGACAGGACAAGGGGTGATGGGTTCAAACTTAAACAGGGGAAGTTTAGATTGGACATAAGGAAGAAATTCTTTACTGTTAGGGTGGTGAGGCACTGGAATGGGTTGCCCAGGGAGGTTATGAATGCTCCATCCCTGGCGGTGTTCAAGGCCAGGCTGGACAGAGCCTTGGGTGAGATGGTTTAGTGTGAGGTGTCCCTGCCCATGGCAGGGGGGTTGGAACTAGATGATCTTAAGGTCCTTTCTAACCCTAACTATTCTGATTCTATGATTCTAAGAGGGTGAAACTGTCGTCGCGAGAACAGAGGGTGATCAGCATTGTGATTGGACTATTTACCTTGGGGATTTTTTAAAGAAGCCAATGAGATTGAACGTGGTGCACTCGTGCAGGTTGTAAAAGTACCGAAAAAGGGGATAAAAGGGCTTGACTGTAATAAAGTTTACTTTTGGTCTGAGTCTCAGTATCCTCACCAGACTGAGTTCCGGTCTCAATACACCACAACGGGAGTTCTGGCTGCCCGGGATTTGGAGAGAGGTGAGGTTCTCAATGAGTTCTTTGCCCCAGTCTTCACTGGCGAATGTTCTGACCACAGCATCCAAGTCTTGGAAAGTAGATGCAGGGACTGTGAGAATAAAGACTTTAGGGCCACCATAGGAGAGGATCAGGACTGAGATCATCTTTGGAACCTGAAAGTGCACAAGTCCACGGGACCTGATGAAATCCATCCGCGGGTCCTGAAGGAGCTGGTGAATAAAGTTGCTAAGCCACTGTCCATCGTGGGACAAATCATGGCAGTCAGGTGAAGTTCCTGGGAAATATAAACCCTGTTTTCAAGAAGAGGAAAATGGATGACCCAGGGAATTACAGACCAGTCAGTCTCACCTCTGTGCCTGGCAAAATCTTGGCTCAGATTCTCCTGGAAGGCATGCTAAGGCACATGAAAATCAACAAGGTGCTTGGTGACAGCCAGCATGGCTTCAGTAAGGGGAAATCCTGCCTGACCAATTTGGTGGCCTTCTATGATGGGGCTACAGAACTGATGGACAGGGGTAGAGCAGTTGATGTCATCTACCTGGACTTGTGCAAAGCGTTCAACACTGTCCCACACGACATCCTTGTCTCTAAATTGGAGAGACATCAATTTAATGGATGGACCACTCAGTGGATAAAGAACTGGCTGGATGGCCACATGCAAAGATGTGGTCAATGGCTCGGTGTCCAGCTGGAAACCAGTAATGAGTGGTGTCCCTCAGGGATCGGTGTTGGGACCGGTCTTGTTCAACACCTTTGTCAGTGACATGGACAGTGCGATTGAGTGCGCCCTCAGCAAGTTTGCCGATGACACCAAGCTGTGTGGTTCGGTTGATACGGTGGAGGGAAGGAATGCCATCCAGAGGGACCTTGACACGCTTGTGAGGTGGGCTGATGCCAACCTCATGAAGTTTAACCATGCCAAGTGCAAGGTCCTACACCTGGGTCAGAGCAATCCCAGGCACAAGTACAGGCTGGGCAGAGAAGAGATTCAGAGCAGCCCTGGGAGAAGGACTTGGGGGTGTTGGTTGATGAAATGGGGAAATTCCCACTACTTGCTGTTACAGTAAATGATTGTATTCTGATACTTTATAGATGACAAATGCTTGTTTCATGATTATCTTTTACCAGTTTTCTGGAAAAGACAGACCAAGAGATTCTACGTACTGCTTTCCTGGCTGTTTTTTTTTTTTATGTTCAGGCCACCTTCAAAACATTACTGGAATAACCTGTTATCTGATAAAACAATTTCCTTGGCCTCTTATAGCTTCTTGGTAGGTTGTTTAATACATTTTTTGCCTTTCTTATATGAGGTATTCAATACTTTCTCACTAGACTGATGTTTCAACTTTTTTTTATTTCCTAGAATTCCCTTATTACTAAAAAGATGCTACAAACCCCAGGGGAGACCCCAAACTTCCCATGCCTTCAGAATATTAAGGACATGTGAAAGACATTCCTATCCTTTGACAAAATTTGCTTTCCTTTTTGCTCTTTATTGAAATAATTTTCTTAATGACTGCCCTGTAGGAACTTACTTACAAACATTTCCATTTTGTCTTTGGTATAATATAGAGACTGTAAGGAAAAACACTCAGAATTGCCATTGACAGGATTTAGGTATGATCCACATGAAAAATTTGTGCAGTTACAGTAGTATCTATTTTTAAGTATTTTTTTGTTGCAGAAGTACAATAATTTTGAGTTTATCCTATACGTCTAGGTAGGAAGCCTTCAGCTGTTCTTTCTCTTGGCATGTTTCTGAGATTAAAAAGTCAAATGAAGACTGACTTGGCATCTGCAGGGTGTAGATTAGACTCCATATCCATGTATAATTCCCATCACAGAGTATATTCAAAACCAGAGATGCACCAAAGGACACATCTAGAGAATGTGTGTGGAACACATCTGTATAATTATTGACAGACTGAGTATTTCCCCTTTTAAGGTTGCCTAATATTTCCTATTTAAGACTGTTTTTTGTTGTTTATAGTTTTATTTAAGTTTAAAGATAGAAACTGAAACTGTTTGTGCCAGATGTTTTTCCAGCTACATTTTATCCAAAGCAATCCAGTCATTTCCAAGAATAAGGCTAATGAAAAACAGATTGTTTCCTTCAGTCAAAATCCACATATAATATTTTAAAGCAGCATAGTACACTTCAGAGAGTAGAGAGACAGAACTTAAGGGGAGGAGAAGTAAGGTGAAAGAGGGATATACTTGCTGTAGTTCTTGTGCAAATCTACTTAATTTTGTCCAACCTGTATGCCTTTAACAAAGGTCATCTGCACCCACTTATGGAACACTTGGGTTGGAAAAGAGAGAACTCGGAACAGAGGGAAGGTAGAGGGGCTAAGTGCAGATAGAGCTGAACGCAATGTCAAGAGAGCTGCTGCTATCAGAGATGTGGCGTGTAGCACCCTGCACATTCCTGCAGTGGAAGGACGCTGGAAACCAGCTATTCGCAGGGCAAACAGGCACCCAACGGCATGCTCCAGGCTGAATGTTTTCTGAGGTTTTCTTCACACCGGTCACAATTTTCAGTGTAAGAAATACCGTCCAGTTGTTACCTCTTACTTCCACCCGTGTGTAAAAATTGGTATTGCCGCTGTTAGCCCCTTTTCCACCTGTTGGAGTACTTATCAATGCTAACGTTTTAACAACAAGCCATGGAAGAATGCGACATAAAGCAGTAAGAGTGTTGCAGCTGCCCCATCCCTGGCAGTGCCCAATACCAGGATGAACGGGGCTTTCAGCAACCTGGTCTAGTGGAAAGTGTGCCTGCCCACGGAAGGGGACCGGAACTGGATGAGCCTTAAGCTCCCTTCCTACCCAAACCCACGCCAAGCCTGTGACTGCGATATGAAACCAGCGCAGCCTGCAGTCACCAGCTCGCGGTGGGACCGGAGCTCGTTCACTCCAGTTCCCCGGGAGGGTGCGCGCTGCGCTGCGCACCGCCACGCCCCGCACAACCACTGCCTCCACAGCCTGAGCACCACCCGAGCACGGCCCCCTCTCGGAAACCGCCACGGCACTGCGGGGGCCGCGCTCCGAGGCCGGAAATTAGCGCGCCTCCCCCCAGCGGAAGGCGCTCTGCGGGCCACGGCAGCTCCTCTTCCGGAAGTAACGTTCTTTTCTCCTCCCTGTGCGCCGGAAGTGTCGCTGTTTTCCCCGCACCGTAGGGGGAAGCGGTCGTGCGTCTTCAGTGCTTCCTTCTCTGCCGGCCGTGCCGGCTGGCGGCGGGTCGCCGCCGCCTCCTTACCCTGGCTGCAGCGGTAGCGGTGTCGGAGGGCCCCTCGGGCTGGGTGAGCACAGCCGCGCGCGGAAGGGGGGGTGGGTGCGTTCCTGCCGCCAAGGCCGTGTGCCCGCAGGTCTCGGCAGCCGCCCCTGAGAGGAAAGCGGCGAGCAGGATGGGCTGCGGCCCTGTCACGGCGGAGTCCGGCCGGGGCGTGGGCATCAGGAGGCCCAGGAGGAGTAAATTCGCTCCCTTTTCGTACTTCCCAATCGCGTGTGTGCCTCTCTCCAGGTACAGAAGGTGTTTATAGGGTGTGTGGGCTTGTTTTGTATATAGGTATGTGTGGTGGTTCTGGGCACGCAGTTGCTGAAAGTGTAAATGGTCTTTAACAAGAGTGCCCATTTATGAATGCTGTTAGGCCAAACGTGAATGAAGAGAAGGTAATGCTGGGGCAGAAGGTCGATTTGGAGCAGTAGAATAAGATAAAGAGTGAAAAGTTGTATTTCTTTAGAAATCTTTAAAGAGGGCAAGCCTTTCCAGGCTGTGGAACAGACTTCAGACAAAACAGGCAGACTCTAATTTTTCTCTACGAGTGCACTTCAATTAGAGTGATTTTCTCTGCATGTTTTAGGGAGTGTCCCTTTACCAGCAGCACACCCATGTATTATGCTACATCACATCTCAGCTAATCCTGTTTTAAGATTAATATGCGTGTTGAGTTTGTAAACACAGCAAATCCTGCTGTCAGGTTTGTAGGTGGCTCTGTTGGCTCTGTCTCTGTAGGAATACGCCAGCAAAAACAGTGAGCTGTGGGGAAAGTGATGTAATGAAGAGAATGCTTCAGGTTTCGGCCTGGAATTCGTATGTGTTAAACCCCTGGGCTAAATGTTGTTCAGAGCCATATTTTTGTTTGTTTAAAGATGATCTCAGATTACAAAGGAATGTGGGTTTTGATAACGTTCGTACAACTTATTCTCTCAACAGTTTCCATATGCATGGATATCACCTGATTCTTCTCACAAGAGCTTAAATTGTGTGTAAACCTACCCTAAACATGAGTGGCTCCAAACCTGATATTCTGTGGGCCCCGCACCATGTTGACAGATTTGTTGTGTGCGATTCGGAATTGAGCCTTTATCACATTGACTCTGCTGTAAGTTCAGAACTCAAGGCGGGGTCCTTGCGATTATCGGAAGAAACAACAGCTACGCTATTGTCCATAAATTCCGATACACCGTACATGAAATGTGTGGCTTGGTATCCAAAGTACGATCCTGAATGCCTCCTTGCTGTTGGACAGGCCAATGGTCGAGTGGTTCTTACTAGCCTAGGTCAAGACCACAACTCAAAATGTAAAGATTTAATAGGCAAAGAATTTGTTCCCAAACATGCGAGGCAATGCAACACCCTTGCATGGAACCCACTGGATAGTAATTGGCTTGCTGCTGGGTTAGATAAACATCGAGCTGACTTCTCAGTGCTCATCTGGGATATCAGTAGCAAATATGCCTCAGAGACTGCAGTTGCTACAGAGAAAGTAAGACTTTCATCAGGAGATGCAGAAGCAGGACTGGTAGTAACAAAGCCATTATATGAATTAGGTCAGAACGATGCTTGCCTCTCTCTGTGTTGGCTTCCACGGGATCAGAAGCTGCTTTTAGCTGGAATGCATCGAAATCTGGCTATTTTTGATCTGAGGAACACAAGCCAAAAAATATTTGTAAACACTAAGGCTGTCCAGGGAGTGACTGTTGATCCCTATTTCCACGATCGTGTAGCTTCCTTCTATGAAGGTCAGGTTGCTATATGGGATTTAAGAAAGTTTGAAAAGCCTGTTTTGACCTTGACAGAGCAGCCAAAACCCTTAACAAAAGTTGCGTGGTGTCCAACAAGAACAGGACTGCTAGCTAC